TTAAGAACGTATAGGGAAGAGACAGACGTATTGTCCTCAAGGCATTACAGATGGACTGGCCATAGTCTGTTTTGGATCCTAAAACTGCAACTGTATTTTTAATATATGCAACACAAATATCTTTATGTAATCTTCTAGACTAGTTTTTCAAAGTGACACATGTTTGCAGGCAGATATTGTACTTGCGCATGCATACTCTATAGATGTCACAGTAAGATGATCAGCACGTATGGCACTTTCTATATAATCGTTGCCATCTCAGCCTCAGTTAAGTCAGTGTACAGGCGCACTTGTGTGCAGCAGGTTACTGTAGCTCCAGAAGGGAGCTGATCGATGTAGTGTGCAATCATTATATATGGAGTAGAAGAAAGTCTTGTTTTAGCACATTACTCCATAAGGTTCTGATCCTGCATTTAGTTCTGTAGAGACAAACCCCTGCAAGTATGTGGAACCCCATTGCAGTCATAGATCTCTGCCCAAGCACAGGGAGTTACCCATACAGAGCTCATTGCAGGATTAGGGCTTTTTACACATACGGCAGGTAGTGAAATTTTTATGTAGAGAGCATTTAATTCAACTGGAAAGATACTCCAAAGAGTAAAGCAAGTCATTAGACAATGATATTTTCCAGTTGGAACAGGGCTTCTGAAAATGATTCTAGTTTTTTCAGGGTGGATTTGATTTACATGATTTAAATCACTAGTCAGGAAGACTCGATTTAATCATGGATTTCTACATAAAAGTGCATTCTTATAGGTTGTTATAACCTTAATATACATTCTTCACAACTCAGAGCTAGATGTAGGTTTTATTTTTAGAAGGTACACACTATACATTTTTAAGTGATTTTAGTTTGAAAACTTTTCAGATTAGTTTTACAGCTATATCAGAAAATGAATGATTGTTTGGTTATTTCATTTACCAAAGGTAATTGAAGCAGATATTTATGAAGTCATTGGGAGGTGAACTAGCTCCAATTCAACAGGTTAATTAATCATTAATATTTGGAAGATTTTCTTGCCATGCTGTATTAGGAGGAGAACATCACCAGACAGACATTTAAATTGTTTTATTTAACTAAAACAACAACGTTATGTATTCTGGATTTTTTTCTTCAACAGCAAACATATAATATTTTAACAAAACAAGCATACGAATTTTTGAATTGAGTTAAACATTCAAGTTTTTGAATCAGGTTTGTTTTTGTTAAAATTGTTTTGAACTAAAATAGTTAAATGCAATATTTTAAAAAAAATTAAATGAAATTGACTATGTCGGCCAGGTCAACATAAGAAACTTAAAATATTGGCTTCTGCAGCTAACTCAGTTGTCTTCACCTTCATTTTCCTGTTTGTTCATAATCGGGAAAAGAAAAACAAGCTTTCTCAATTTGGAATGAATTAGTCCAAAGGAAGAAAATATTCTTTCTACACCAGCAGAAGAAGCTACTGCTGTTAAAAGTGAGATTATCACTTCAACAGTCTCTGAATCCAAGTGCTTAAGTGACTTCCACCAGTTCACTGGTGTGACTTTCTTTAAAAACTCATCAGGAAACATTTATTTCTTGAATGGTTTTTATTCCCAAACTGGGTCTCTTTTACGGCCTGCTGCCATTATAGGTTTTCCCTTCTAGTGAGAGAATGGTATGGTAGATCTCAAATCAATGAAGGCTCTATATTCAGAAAGACCTCAAGACTTCTGAAATATGCTGCTCAAACAGTTTCACTTTTGTTTCTACTGCCTGTCCCTCCCTTCTCACATTTATCTCCAGACTTCTTCTCCTTGTCCAGATCTATTCCACCTCCAACAATCTTCTGTTCATTGAACTTTTTGAAACTTTGCACTTTTAGAGAGAGGTAAGGGATTGACTCTGTGTACACAAATTTGCAGAGGGACAAAAAGGCTGAGGTCTGTTATTTCTCACCTCTATATATTATTTATTTATTTTAAAACATTTTTTGCTGTTAACAAGCATGTTATCTCTGGAGACCTAAATCCACAGTTTGAGAACTGCAAAACTAATCATCTCTGATGGTATCTTCTAGACTGAGCACTGAGTCTCATTGGGTAGATAGAAAGATTAACCTAAATAATCTATACAGAAGCCCCTGGAACTCCATATGATTAGGTCCCTAATCCATGAACTACTGAAACTCATTTACAAAACTTTTCTTAAAACATTACATGAATATATATTCTCATACTATAGAATTAATAATCCCTATTCCAGGATGAGATATCTTTGAGCTATAATGTATCTTAATTAAAACTATCTTTAGATAGGTATTTTCCTCAAAAAGCATTTTATCAAAAAAATCAATTTAAATAAAAAAAGTCAGATTTTTTAATTATTTTTTAAATCATTGATTTTTATCTACCCTGCACACACATCTTTGCTTGCATACATTTCTAAATTGCTCGTTTCAATGTCCTCTTTAAAAATCTAGTCTTCAAATCAAAACCTGAGTGAAGAAAATATTAGAATCACAGTAAACAATAAATCTTCTAATTTTTTTAAACAATGTAAAGCTTTTAAAATTGTTTACATCACCCAAAAATGTGCTAAGTGCTTTACAGATATAAAATTAGATCATTCTCTGCTAGATTTGCTACGCTAAGAACATCAGCAGTTGTTTGTCCCCTTTTTTCTAGTGATTCCATCCATGTTTTCCTTCCAAGCTTCCTCATTCAGCACTTGTGCTCCCCTTTCCAATTAATATAGCACATAACCTGAGTTGTTTTCTTTTCTGTAATTGTAAAAGTCCTTGCTACCTGTTGTTCCTGGTATATATCACTGCTGTAGACTCTCTTTCCAGGAGGAAACTCTGGTCTTTTTAAAAGGGCCACTGTAAGTATCTATGCTTCCAAATCACTGGTTTTGGATGTTCGTCTCTTCAAAAGGATTTACTGAAGATGAGAGACAAGCCATGCAAGTTCCGAATCTATATAGACTTCTACAGATGTTGATTTTAAAACAGACCATGAACATGTACTTGCAGAATCACACTTCTCAATATTTTTTGTCATTCACAGTTGATGGTTATATACAGCCCTGGTTTTGGAAACATTCCAGAATATGTTTAAGATAATCACTAGATGAAATGTGCCTCTTTAAGAGGTAAGGGTTGGATGATAGAATAAAAAGGTTCCGTAGTGGTTGCACTCCAACTGTCTGTACTTAAATTCTTGGTCTGTGGAAGCTCTGGCCTAACCAGAGGGGACCTAGTGGCTTTTGGAATCCACAGGCCTCAGTTAGTTGCCTAGGCCTTTCTAGGTAATGCATGGAGAGAGTTAGGTGCCTAAAGCCTGGTCTGCACTAGAAAATTAGGTCAGTTTAACTGCATCGGTCAGGGGTGTGAAAAATCCACACCCCTGAGCGACGTTGTTAAACCGACCTAAGTCTCCTAGACAACGAGAATTCTCCCGTCGATCTAGCTACTGCCTGTCATGGATGTGGATTACCTCTGCTGACAGAAGAATCCTTCCTGTTGGTGTAGGTAGTGTCTACACTGAAGCGTGCAGCTGCAGTGGCACATTTGTACTGCTGTGACTTTTTAAGTGTAGACAAGCCCTAAGAATGGGATTCACAGAAGCCAGCATATTGAGCCTAAAATAGCCAATAGAGAATGCCAATGAGGAGTGTGGGCCTAAGGACCACCCAAAGAGATTTAGGCACTTAAATTGAGGCCAGAGGGAAGCATGTCCCTCCATTTGAGATTCACAGCCATGACCCATCTCCAGGAATTAGGCACTTAAGTTCCTTCTCACAAATAGGAAGAGCTGTTGTCACCCCTCTTATAACCTTTAGCCTACCTACCCACAGTGTAGGAGACCCAGTTTGAAATCCCGTGCCTGCTGTGGAAAATGGATTTGAACACAGGGTTCTCGCCTTTTGGGGGGGGTCGGGTGGGGAAAGAGTACCCTAACCACTGAGCTATGGGGTATTCTAGAGCAGGCCTCTCTCCTGTTGAATCTGTTCCACTATGTATAATTAAACATGCACTGGGCCAGAGAGAGAGAGAGAGAGAGAGAGTGGATTGCAATACCTAAATCCCTTTGTGGATCTGGGCCTTAGGTATTGCAATGTCTAACTTTTAGGCACCAAGAAAAAAATCACTGAACAACGAGATCCACAAAATCTGAGTTAGGAATCTAGGCTCCCTATACAAAGAATAGGGAGAGAGAGGTGCCTTAGACTGCAAGCTACAAAAGCCAACACACTAGGCAAGAAACTGCCTAAGCTAGCCAATGGGAGATGTCAATGCTAGGGGTGCATCGTAGTTTGGCTTCTGAGTCTGAGCTTCAGGGAGGCACTTATCTCTGCTTGGGATCCGCAGCTGGGAACCCCTTTCCTGGAGTCAGGCAGTTTAGAAACCTAAACAGTTCCTTCCAAGATTGAGTTAGGCACCTGCCTAACTCCACACAAAATGGGAAGGACGGGGAGTGGAGAAGCAGAAGTCCCACCCTCAGAGCATTTAGTCCAGTGGGTACTTATTTGGGAGACCCCAAGTTGAATTCTCCCCTCTGCCTGATAAAAGGGGATTTGAATAGTGAGGCCTCACCTCTCAGGGTCATGTCCTAACTACTAGATTAGAGTGGATCTCACTATTTCTGACCCAATTAATATTTAATTAAAGTAGAACAACTTCAATGGCAGAAATTGAGAAAGCCCCACATCAGATTATACCAATGGTTCCTAAACTTGTTCCGCCGCTTGTGCAGGGAGAGCCCCTGGCGGGTCGGGCCGGTTTGTGTACCTGCCGTGTCCGCAGGTTTGGCCGATCGTGGCTCCCAGTGGCCGCGGTTCACTGCTCTAGGCCAATGGGAGCTGCTGGAAGCAGCACGGGCTGAGCGACATACTCGCCGCCGCTTCCAGCAGCTCCCATTGGCCTGGAGCAGTGAACCGCGGCCAGTGGGAGCCGCGATTGGCCGAACCTGTGGACGCAGCAGGTAAACAAACCGGCCCGGACCGCCAGGGGCTTTCCCTGCACAAGCGGCAGAACAAGTCTGGGAACCACTGGATTATACCATAGCCTGGTGGTTGGGCACTCACCTGAGAGGTGGCAGATACCTGTTCAAATCTCTCTTCTTATCAGGTAGAGGGGAGAATTGAACCAGCAGTTACCCACAGCCTAACTGCATACCCTAATCAGCAGGCTACAGGTAACAAGGGAGGTCATCTTCTGGCCATTTTTGTATGGAGTTAGGCAGCAGCTGCCCATGCCTACCACATCAGGCCCTGTAGACGAGATAGGTGGAGGCACACCTGTCTTCCCCCAGTTTGTGGCATGCAATGGGGCTTAGGTGGGAGACAGGCATCTACATGCCTAGAATGAAACAGCAGTCCATGTACCCAGAGGGAGAGACATAGGTGCCTGGGGAACTTTTACAGCAGAAATTTAGACACCAAGTGAGTGGCGATACCTACAGGATTAGGCAGCAGCCAAGCAGGGATATTGTGGATTGCCTGGGGTTTAGGCACCTAAGTACTTTTGTGGGTCTAGCCCTTAGGGAATAGTGTAACAAGTTTATGGTATTTGTATTAGCAAAGGTGTGTTGAGATTTAGTGTTAAGGTATTACAATCTATTAGTTTAATATTTTTATAAGAAAGTGTTGTTCTCTGGTTAATGTTTATATTGCATTTTCAGTGGGCTACTGGAGCTGAAAAATAGATCTGTTTTAAAGAAACCTCTTTCTATTGACTTGTAATTATTTCCATTGCATCACTTTTGCTCTCTGTTGAGTTTTATAGCCATATTGCTCCTTCAGACATGACCTGCATTTCCTATTAATGGGAGCTGTGCAAGCATTGAAGGTCAGTTTGGCCTTTAGGATTCTATCTAACTGAAATAGGCTGGGTTATGGCAGGGAAAAATAACTATTAGCATTGATAATTTTAGAGATTCTTAATTTCACAAGCTGCCTGTATTAGTCTTTCATGGTCCTATTGACTGGGAGAAATTTTTAAAACAGTGTTTCCAACCTTTTTGGGACTACTAACTGAAAACGAGTTAGGACTTTTCCACATAAAATCATCTTTCAGATTTAAATTTAGGATGGCTGGTAAAAAGTTTTCTACAACAAAGAGTATGATTTGATTTTCCTTGTTCATCTGGGATCCCCTGTATCATTTCTGGCTCTTACTTGTTTCTTCAACCAAAAAGCAATTTGTTATCTTTCACCAGTTTTTCAGCAGTAGATATTCATGTGTGATTCAGACCAGCACAGCTTTTATGTAAGTATCCAGGGCTTCCATTTACAGTATCTGATTTTTTTTCTCACTCAGAGGTTTTCATGAAGCTTTCCTTCCTTTTCAGGTTGAGGGAGAACTGAGTGTTGCATGTCTGCTTGCTCTGACTTGATTTGCCCCAGCATATCTTGAACTCCATCACATGTAGCATAAGAGGTAGGAGTTACAGCAGGTCCTGAAACATTAGTGTAAGCACATGGTAAGAGAAAATGCTGCAGGCAATTTTTGCTCTTTAATTTAAATTACAATCTACTCCACTATCTTCTTTGTCTAATAGACTGATACTGCATTTTGAAGCATTAGTTCCTGACTAAGGCTAGGTCTACACTACCCGCCTGAATCGGCGGGTAGAAATCGACCTCTCGGGGATCCATTTATCGCGTCCCGTCGGGACGCGACAATCGATCCCCGAATCGACGCTCTTACTCCACCAGCGGAGGTGGGAGTAAGCGCCGTCGACAGGAAGCCGCAGAGGTCGATTTTGCCACCGTCCTCACAGCGGGGTAAGTCGGCTGCGATACGTCGAATTCAGCTACGCTATTCACGTAGCTAAATTTGCGTATCTTAAATCGACTCCCCCCTGAAGTGTAGATGTAGCCTAAGAGTAGGTAGAAAATACAAAGCCCCAATTATGCAAACACTTAAATGCATGCTTAATTTTACTACCATGAGTGGTCTTGATGACAGTTATCAATAGGATTACTCTCAGAAATAAAGTTAAGAACATGTAGAAGTTTTTGCAGGAGTGGGCCCTTCCAGCGCAACAGTAATTTAGCCAAATTTTCCAAAAAACAAGTTAACCTGTGGGCATAAGAATTTCAGTTTTAAACAGTAATTTGCAGAAAGTTATAAGCACTTAACAAAAAGTGTTGGCATAAAAGTGCCTGCAGCTATAGCATCTCCAGTGATCTCAATGGAGTGCCTAAGCATTTTCATTCCATATGTCATTATTTGTTTTGATAATTATTTCAAAGTTTATTTTAAACAAGGAAAACATCAAGAAGAGAGAGCTGTGTTTCCAGGATGTTTCTGGCAGAGTGACAACATGCTTTCATATACTGCAAAACACTCATGTAGTGAGACAATCCACAACTACCAAATATAGCTATTTAAACTATAAAAGCAAAATAACTCCTATACAAAAATATCCTGTGACCTCAGGGGAATAGGATTTATCCCGAACAGTTCTAGTCTAGACAAAGTGAAACGGATTGATTCTATCCTTGAAGAATTGTCAACGAGCTAGCTGAGCTATTCTCTAGTAAAAATAGGTAGCCTTAGGGCAACATAAACGTGTAATAAATCACTGAAAGATGAAGTCTCTATTTTGTTTGTATCATTTAAGCTTTATTTTATGAACAAAGACAAGATATGATTGTATGTAGCTGTTAGAAAGTTTATAATTCTAACTCTAGTTAATAAAACTAACTCTTCTCTCATGCAGCATTAAAATAATATGTAGCCACCAAATATTTTGACATGAGGGCCTGTCACTGACATCTCCACCAGATGCTCTAATCCATTCATCACTACTCACCCATAGTTACGCCACAATGCTTCAATAATACCCAGGCTTGTGTTGAACTTGAAACAAGGGGACCCTGTAGGGGCTGGAGGCCTCTGGGAAATCAACTTGGAGAACAACCATCTTCAAGTGCAGGTGCTTTCTGAAAGGTGACTGTAAAATGCCATCATGGACATCTATCTTTGTCTCTTGGTTTCTAGAATATATATATATATTCAGTTTACAAGTAAAAAAAAAAAATTTTAGCCCCCAACTGCCTGCTCTGCAGAGGCAATCTGGGTTCTTTCCTTCTCATGCATTATCGCTAGTTTAATTTAAAAAAAAAAAGTTCTGGGGGCCAAATTAGTCTCTCAGTCATAACTTTTGAGTTCAGAAACTTCAGTGACAAATCTGCAATCTATTTGCCTTCAATGACTTTGCACAGAGGCTACTGATTTGAAGTTAGTAATCAGCACTTGATAATGCACATGATGCTCACTCTTTTTTTTTAGCCGTGTTAACTCCGCAGAGCTAGAGGAGGAAAAAAAAAGCAGGAAAATCTACTCTCTTTATTTGCCCAATGATACCTGCTGATTTTACTAACTAAAATAACTTTTCAGAGCAGAACATCACCTTAATAAACACTTGAAAAAAATATCATTAGCTGCCTTTTCTACAGAAAAGACCATATTGATTAGCATTCATATTTAAGACAGAGGACTCCACCCATAAAGTAATCTACATACTACTTTTACTGCCCACAAGATATGAAGAAGTCAAAAGGGTAGGTTCACATTACAACACAACAATTGCCAAATCATCTAGAATGCATCACTGTTTTGTATCACATTTGCTATTTACATAAAAGCATTACCAAACCAGTCATAACTAAATATGGTATGGGCTAATTTTTAAGGTCAGTTTTCAGTATAAGGGTCAATTTGTATTTCATCTCTTTTCTCCCCTGTAATATTCAGGAGTTCAAATTACATCGTTAATTTATCTCTGTTTTGACCAAAGTTACTTCAATTTTAGCTGGCTGTATCTCAGACAGACAGGTGGGCTGAAATATGTGACTACTGTAAATGTATGTGTTGGCAATAATTAACGGCTTCATATAAGCTTTCTACAGTTGGTGATTGTTGGCACAAGGTAAATGGCAATTGTCATCTTTTCCCACTACATCTTGGCTCAGTTTCCTTCTCACTGTCTGGTCAGTTCTAAGGAACTCATCTATTCCCTCCTGAGATTTGGTCTCTGGAACTGGTTACTCCTGGGGGAATTCTGCACCACTGCGCGTGTGCATAATTAATGAGCCATGCATATTTTTAATTTTTTGCACAGAAAAAGCTTCTGCTGGAATGTTGCTGCAATTCCGCCTTTTGCCCACCAGAGGACTCTGTGATGCTAGAATAGAGCAACAGCTTGCAGCAGAAAATAACTTCTGCAGTACCACCTTTTGCTCATCAGAAGGTGCTGTGGCCATAGAACACAGCAGCCACTGCCAGCCAGCTAGGGAAGAGAAAGAGCCTGCCTTCTTTGCAGCAGCTGTCAGGCCAGGTCAGGAGACAGGGGCTATAGGGAGACAGACAGCGTGGGGCTGCTGGGGGGGTCACACAGGGGCTCATAAGGGCTAGTGGGGGAGAACAGACAAGGGCAGGGGCTGAATGGGAGTGGAGGCGCAGGGCCACATGGGCAGAGGGGAAGAGAGTGGCTGAGTGGGGGCACAGAGACACATGGGGAGAGGGTGCAGGGGCACATAGGGTCGTGGGGTGTCTGAGTGGGGGTGGAAGGACACATAGGGACAGGGGCAGATGTGCCTGACTGAATGGGAGAGGCTAGGGGTCAGCCAGGGTCTGCATGGGGGAAGCTCCCTAACATTACCTCCCCGTCTCCCAAAAAAAACCTGTTCCATACTTTTCCTACTCATACCCAACAACCCTCCAAGTTCACACCCAGACTCCTTTCCAGCAATTACTTCCCTCTCCCTCAGCTCCTCTGTTACTCCTGACTCCCCAAGCCTTTGCACTGCTTCTAAAGGGTGTGGGAAATACTGTTCTGTATTGAAGTTTAAATGATTACTCAGAGTTCTGTATTAATATGCCTAGTAAATAATCTATTGGTCAAAAAACATTTTCTGAATATATTTTGTTTTATGTATTGTTACAGACATACTTGCTGACAGGTATTTTGAAATAAATGACAAAATAATTGAAACTGGTGTGATTATATTGTGTTATTTTGACAAATAAAATTTGCAGAATTTGAAATATTGTGTGCAGAATTTTTAATTTTTTGGCACAGAATTCCCCCAGGAGTAAACTGGTGTATGATATTTAGGTGTTCGAATAATTCTTCCAAGGTACAAAGATGTCCTTCCCTATAACTCTGGGATAATAGGTCTCATTGAACTACTGAGTTAATGATTTTCAGCTTTTGCTAAATAGTTTCACCTCACAGCTCTGTTTTCTAGTCTTGACTCTTTACCGCTTCCTTTGGCTCAGCCTGTTAGTACAAATATAAAATCTTTTAATCAACATTCATGTGAGTAATATGGACTCTAGCTATATGATCTCGGTGTTGCTATACTCCTTGTTCTTGCCTCCCTACAAGTCACAGGACACACTGACTTTAGCCAACACCGCTAAAAATTGGGTTAATCTTTATTTTACAGGTTTTTCTCAAATGATCTTACAACCTCTTAAGTAGTGATGATGGCACATTTCAGGGACACGCATCAATTATAGGTTAAGGGTCTAAGCTAGAATGCAGTGGAAAGGTAGAATGGGTTCTATGCTCAGAATTTCCGCTTTGTCCGGGAGGCTTGCAGGAGGCATAATTGCTCATTCAGCTCAGAAATTTGGTCTCTGGATATCTTTTCCTGTTTGCTTGATTGACATTGGTCATTGTTCCCTATCCATTGTGCTCTTCATCCTCCTCACTTTTCCCCTCCCTTTTCTTACTCCAATCCCTCCTACCATTCATCTCTTCCACTTCTGCCCCGAGTGCCCTCTCTCGCCCCCCAAGATAGTTTTTTTATAATGTAATGAAAATATATATTAAAAACAATAAAAAGAACTAATAAGGCCTATGCCAGTCATCATCATGACATGGATATCACCACTGCAGTTGATTCTGAATGAAATGAGGCCAGGAGAGGAAGGTGAAACCAAACAAGGTGCCAAGAAGAGAAGCTGAATGTGCTAGAGATTTTTACCAACAATGATGCATAGAGATTTTTAGCTTAGATTTCACATTTGTGAAAATAGATGCCATCCGGAACCATTTTAATGCCTAAGATATAATTCCTATACCCTACACCAGAACTGCGTACAGTGACATGGCACAAGGACAATATGCAGTGACCAGAAGACAGATTCATCCATGAGTGGAAGCAAGTGCGGGAGGAACTGCTTTAGTGTTGATCCACTAACCCCTACTCCCCTGGGTTTGCCTACCTCTTCTAAACCTTTCCTTGATGGCAGTGCAGAGAGCTCTCCCACGGAACACAGCTTTGCTGGTTCAGTAAGATGTTCTCCCCTACAAATGGTGCCACTCAACTCCTGCTGCCTTCAGAGCCCTCCACACCCTCAGAAAAGGGGGCAGGCTCCAAAATACATGGCAAATCTCTTCCTTTTTTTATCCACTCTCATATTTTGTTAAATAAAAAAAACATTACTTTTAAAGATATGAACAAAAGTAAGCATGAGTGAGTGGCATGTGGAATTGGTACAGAGATTATTTCATCAAAGATAACAAGCAAATATACTGCGACAACTTATACAGGTCTGAAATCAAGTTGAAGCAGATATTCTAGGATTTGCACAGTGAACAAATTCCCCCTGCATGTTGAAGGACCTAAGCCCTGACCACTAGGCAATGCTCCCCACAAGAGCAAACCATCGCAGTGCAGCTTCTCCTATGCAAAAGCGGTGGCCTGTAAGAAAGACAAAGGTGCCTCAGGAAAACTGCATGGATGAGTTTTATCTCTGTGGGCAAAGAGAGAAGTCTGGAACATAGGGATGTTTTGCAGGGAGAAGCAGCAAGATTTAGATGTGGCCTGGATGTTTGGGTCTACAGAGAAGGCCGAGTCAACGATAATGCCCAGACTTGGCCTGTTTTGCAGGAAGGATGCTGGTGCTGTCCACAGTAATGAAGAAAGAGGCCCCTTCTAAGGCAAATCTTTAATCTTTTAGCTTAACTAGCTAGGTTGGGCAAGCATTAGAGTGAAGATCTGAAGGTCCCCACTTCAATTCTGGCTTCTTGTGGTAGGTTCTCCATCACTGACAATTTTTAAATCAAGATTGGATGTTTTTCTAAAAGAGATGTTCTAGGAATTTTTTCAGGGAAGCTCTATGGCCTGTGTTAAACAGGAGGTCAGACTAGATGATCACAGTGGTCTCTTCTGGCCTTAGAATCTATTAAAGTAAGATTAATTTCAAATTAAATACACTAATCATTTTTATACTTTTCCTTAAGTCTTTCGTAGAAAGGGGTTCTATTCGAAGAGTGACATTTCTGAGAAGTTCTCCTATAATGCAAAGTGTTAAAAGTCTATCAGCATTCCATTTCAAGTGAACAGCATAGGTATGTGAGCAAAGAACATAGCAAGTAGTAGATATTTCTAAGAAGCTGACATAAGTAGGTGCTTAGTGGTATTTGGGCATTGCACAAGTCCCAGTGGGATGTTGAAGACTAATACGGAAAAGAGCTGACCGGAGAAGGTAAATGGGGGCATAGAAATGCAGGGCTCCTTTATGTCAGGTGCTTGAAATCTCCAGTCTGGCATGGTGAATGGGAGTGCAATATTTGGTATCATGTCATGAAGTGAAAGGCATGATGTACAGCAGATTTATGGGATTGGAAGGTGCTTGTATTCCAATAGTAAACACTACACTAATTTCCATAGAGTTGTACAGGGTCTTAGCCACTCATTTTTTATCATCATCAAAAAGAATTAGCTGTTACCTTGAGAAATGCTTGAAAATGTAAGGGTGTTTTAAAATGCTCCTTACCACCGCATTATGTCTTGCTTGTCTAATTGTTTTATTGTCATTAATATTTGAATATTATTAAATGCTGGGTATATTGGCACTTATGTCAGTGTAAATATTATTAATAAAAACAAATGTCAGACTTCCACAATATCTTTTTTTATATCTAAGGATCTTGCAGTGCTTTAAAACACTAAGGACTCAATCTTCTCCCTGTTGGATT